TGGATGTCAATGTTTATTCTTGCCATCTCCTGTTCGACCACCTCCAGCTTCCCAATGTTCATAGATCTTACATTCCAGGTTCCTATGCAGTATTCTTCTTTGCAGCATTGGATTTTCCTTTCACTTCCAGGCACGTCCACAGCTGAGCGTCCTTTCGGCTTTGGCCCAACCACATCATTAGCTCTGGAGCTACTTGTACTTGTCCTCCACTCTTCCTCAGTAGCATGTTGGACAGTTTGACCACTATGCCACAAGACTCCTCTAAAGGATGATATTTAGAGGTCACATGTTTCTCTCTCAAAAAGTTACATTCAGCTTGAGGAGGGTCTGTTCAGCTAGTTCAGCTAGACAAACAGATTGCATTAAATAAATAAATACAAATCTTTTTAAAAATTGAATGGAAATAGTTTATCTCAGAGAGAAATATGCATGTATTTCAAAGTTTTGAAAGTATAACTTCAGTGCATGTATGCCAGAAGGAGCTAAAACAGAACTTATGGAACCTCGTGGCACAATGGATAACCTACAGTTCTGCAGCCAAAACGCTGCTCACAACTTGGGTTTAATCCCAGGTGGTCTGCCCAAGGTTCACTCAGCCTTCCAGCCTTCCGAGGTCGGTAAATTGAGTACTCAGCTTCCTAGGAGGTTGGCAATGTGTAGCCTGCATAAATAAATTGTAAACTGCCCAATACTGCTGTGGGGTGGTATTTAAGCAGCATACTTTGCTTCTATATCAGTCTTTCCCAGCAGTAATGCTAAATATGGAAGTGAGGGAGGATACGTGCTTAAGGATGACTTTTGCTAGGGGGGTGGAGAGCAAGTGCAGTCGCCTCAGGATGATGGGCAAGTGATGGTGGGGGCGGGCGGGCGAAAGAAACATATGAGACAATGATTTTTCAAGGTTTATCTGAGTGGAGCCTTTGTTGGAACAGATTTGGTGCTCTTTACCCACCCATGCTTCCTTTCAGGTGATATGGTGCAGGTCAGAACCTGCTTCTTTTGTCTCTGGTTGAATTTAGTTTCCCAAACTAATTTGCCCAACCCTGCAGAGCTATTTTTCTAATCTGATGGAAGGAAGTTCCATCAAGCCTCCCAACATCAAATGGAAAACATCCCACAGGAAGTGCTTGAAAGCATTGTTCACAGACTTTTCCTCTCCCTCCGGGTGTGATGATGCCCTGGACTAATGTGGCAGCCAAATACTTAAGTTAGATGGCAATCTGGTAGCCAGTCAGACTTTCTTATGTGCTCCTGCCTATGATAATTGTCTTTTCAGTTTATTATCTTAGGGATCCATGTGACATGATTTGGCAGCCAGTCAAGAATAAAAAATTCATGCAGCTTTCAAGGGCATTGTGGGCATAAATCCTCGGTAGCAGAAAATCTCGATCTGCAGGCTGTTGGATCTGCATACCAAAGATGCAACTAGGTGTGGATGGGACATGGCATTCATAATAAAGCTGCTCAGGAAGATGGCAGTGCAGAAGGGAAAGCAACGAAGTTTTAAGTCATACTTTATGGGCGAGTTTTGCTTAGACTCATTGTTTCTCCTCTTTTGCATTAAACTTAATTGAACTTTCCTGTTCAGGGACAAGGTGAAGAATGAGCTATAATGGCAAAGTAAGTGGCAATCAGATTTGATTTGTAAACGTAGCACTTAGTAACAGGGAGTGTCCTTGGTCGAACAAATTGGTTGTTTATAAAGGAGAAGTAACATAATAGTGTCCAGGGATTACCATTATCCTTTTTTTTTGCAGTTCCGTATTTCATTAGAAGCACCTCTTACAGTGATCACTGTAAAGGACCCACAAGGGACACTTGCAAAATTGTCCCTTGTAAGTGTTTTGTGACTATTTAAAACTGGTACTTACAGCCCTGTCTTGTTGGCCTGAAATGGCTGTTGTGAGAAAGCAAAACTTTGTTTTCTTACCAATAGTGAATGTTATATCCCTAATTAGTTTCTGAAGATGGAGTTGGATTTGGACCTAGCGGTACCAGTAAACAACAGCATGTGACTAAAAGTGAATTTGATTTATTTCAGTGGGGCTGCATTAAATAGGATTAAATCCGAATCAGACCTGTAGTGTCAAGAGATGCTTATCACAACCATAGTTATTTTATGCATAGCATCCACAATATCCCCATGTTTGTTCTCATTTTTGTTCTTTCTTTTTTTCCCTAAATCCTATGCTCCAGAATAAGATACATGTTTTGTTGCAGAACATACACAAAACTGGATCTACACTGTAGGCATTACGTATAACATGGTCTTCTGAAGAGTTGCAAATGGTGTCGCCAAGTTTCTGTCACTTGCCACATATAATTGTTCTCTTCCTTCCTTCCTTTCCATCAACAAATACATACAAAACATCTGGGACAAAAAATGTCCAAAAAATCTGTCACTTTTTGTTACTAGCACACTTTTTCTTGCAACCAGAGTAATGTCAGAACAAAAACTGATTTTTTCAGGAGACCACAATGCCTTAAAGGCACGTGATATAATGTATTTGTCAGTAGATTCGCCTTGTTAAGGAATGAACATTTCAGTTCTCAGTGGTTTCAGAAGATAAGCATACGGTACATGAAAACCAGGTCTCTCAGGCTTAATGCTAACTACAATGCTAACCCTACTGTTGACCCTCAGTTCTCTGGAATTACAAAGGTGCCTCTCTCTGTTCACTAGCCTCTGTAGAGGATGCCTACCAGTCCCCTAATGCTTTGCAATTACCATGAAACTTAGAAAGCTCCATCCATGTCCTCCCCCATGCTTTAATTGCCATACCTGCAGACAGAGCCTTGGCAAGAAACCATTGAGGGTTTTGAAACGCCTTTGAAAACTTGTTTTTTGTTTTGTTTTGTTTTGTTTTTGCTAAAGCTATCTGAATTCTAGCTGGGAAAATTCCTGCTGATTTCTGATAGGTGTAGTGTGTGTGTGGGGGGGGGAATTCTGAAAATTGCATGTCAAACAGTTATGTCCTTGCCAAGGCAGACCACAATTCTTTTATGAGTGCTTTGCATGAGGAAGGACCTTGGTTCAATCTCTGGCACCTCCTGTTTTTTAAAAAAAGGACAGAATAGCAAAAGACTCTTCGAGCCTAAAGAGCCGTTGCATGTCAGAAGGGTTAATACTGGGCAAAACTGAGACATAATTTAATCTAATTTAAAGCAATTCTCAGTAGCAAGAGGAATTCTGGAGTATTGTAGAGTATTATCTAGTTTCTGTTCTCTCAATGAAGTTCTCTGAGTGCCAACTGGAGAATGGTTACCAACAAACAAATGCTTACATTGTGAATGATGCCCATTCGTCATAGCATGTAATTTTTCCTCACCCATGTATCTTGCATTTAATGTGCTTTGCTCTATAACTGGTCACTGTGAAGTAAATTATTTTGCAAGACTGAGGACCTCTTTACATTGGTAAAATAATTCAAAATATGTAGTGGAGTTGGTTTAAAGCAAGTTTAAGTCATGTGGTATTTACGTAATATTTAAATCACAGTGGACATTCCCTAGGGCACCTTTTAATCCATTTCATTTTATAAGGAATCAGTACTTGCACAGACTGGCTTACCAGCCAATAAGTGCTCAGCTAGCAATAGCAGTGTTAGCGGCTTAGCCAGCCCCTGCCAAGAATGCCACAGTCATTTTTTCAGGGCACCTCCTCCACCCGCTCCCCATTTCTGGAACTGCCAAAGCTTTCCTTTCAGAAGGAAGGGCAGTTCTGCCATGGCCCCTTCCCCTGCTCTTTGTAGGGCCTCCCGGGGCCGCCTGTTTTCTCCTACTGTGAGAGTCAGCCAGCAGGAAGGCTCCTCAAAAATTGTCACCAGCAGAGGTGGTCACATACGAGGAATTGATTTAAATGAATCAATTTCTGTCAATTTTGAAATAAAAAGTCTTCTGCCAGAGGAGTAAAAAAAAAACTTGCAGGCAGCCCCCCAAAACACACATGATTCCTTGTGAAATCGTGTGTGTTTTGAAATTGTGCTTCCACATACCTTGTGTATTTACTCTTTTTTTTTTTTTTACATAGACTCAAAAACACACTAAACCCGCTTCGAAACCCTTCTCTTTTGGTAATGGGATTGAGCTCTGAGGCAGGTCTCTCAGAAGTCTGGGTGGTAACAACTGGGCTAATTGGGTCAACTGTCAGAAGTATGCCTTCTCCTTTCTGCCTTGTATGATCCTCAGATCAAGAAGTAGGCCTGTTTGCACTTCGTACGGCCTGCTCCTACCTGCTGCCTTTACTCTACGACCGTCTCTTCAGAACATCACAACTCGTGATGCTTAGAAAGAGCTGTGCTCCAGACAGAACTCCACCGTTCAGTTAGGGCCCCTAGCTACTCCGGAGAGAGATAAGCTGAGCTGGAAATGTAGGCACATCATCATAAACATGAATATTATAAATGGGATCTCCTGAGACCTGGCCTTGCTGCAGTGCACACAGTGCTGCACTTTTCATGTTTGTTTTTAATTACATACTCTGAGACTTAAAGAGAGAACCCAGCTTTCCGACAGATTTTATCTGCTGATTATTTTCACAAATTGTTACAGAAAAGGCCTTTGGGGCTAGAGTGTAGGTGGAGGCTGAGTTACCCAGTCATAGACAAGATGCCAAGGAGCAGTGTCTTAACCTATGCTTCCAAGGCAGGTGCTGACAGATCCACCTAGCCAGGGGAAACATGCTCACATTCTGGAGACTCACAGAGAAAACGGTAAGGAGCCACCTTCATGGATTCGCTTTCAGCTGGAAACACTCGCTGCGTTTTCCCTCTCTCTTAGACCCTTTTCCAGACAGATTTCAGCTTCTGACAAATTAAAGAGCGCTTGCCTTTGTTGTAAAGAAAGGTCCCCTTGTTTAATTGTGGATCTTTGGATTCTTGAGCATTGCTGCTCAGGAGTGTGTGTTTGTGTGTGTGTCTGTGTTAGCAGCAGCAAACATGACAAAAAGAAAAGAGAAAGACCCAGGCATTATACTGCAATCCCTCCTTTCTAACATTTAGGTTCATCAGTACTACAGCTGCCTGCCAGAAGACAAAGTGCCTTATGTGAACAGCCCTGGGGAGAAAGCCCGTATCAAACAGCTTCTTCACCAGCTGCCACCGCACGACAATGAGGTGAGTCATTTAGAAATAATTGGGGAAACATTGGCTTAGTACACATAGCAGGGGACAGGACCATCTTTTCGATGTTGCTGCCGCATGTACCAACTGGGCGGTTAACTTAAGTCTCTGGCAACAGATTTGTTAAAGGGCAGTTTTGAAAAAGCTGTGCGGGTATTTTTAGCCTCAGTTTGTCCATACCCTGGTTGAAGCATTAGGAGGCAGAAAGACCTTTTCCTCTTTGTTCAGCTGGGCAAAAGGGGAGGTAATTTTCACACAGAGATGCACATTTCTGGAAGTCACAACATGCCATATGTGACAGTGGCTCCTCACAGTGGTGTGAGCTACCAATTTTTATGTATCCTGAGGCTGAAACCGAAGTTTAAAACTGTACTTTTTGCTGTCAGATGTAATCTTTACAATTAGATTCCATAAGTCTATTCATTTTCAGAAGTCCAATACATTACAACAGCAGGGAAGATAAAATTTTAAGCAACTACATAAAGAAGACTTGCTCCCCTTATTCAATTTAATTTTGATATGAATTATCAACACTGTATATGGAGAAATCACCTACTGCATGTATATATACATGATGATAGAGACAGTTTATGCTGTTTTTATCATCTCGAGAACCAGTTTGACTTGAGTTGGGAGATCTAATGGGGAGAAAATATTGGCAGTTGTCACTTTCACTATAAGATCAAAGTGATTTTATGCTGGGAAGGCAAAATGGCAAACCTGGTCAGGAGAATGCTGAATGTAATAAATGGAATATCTAGACAAAAGCTAAAGGCAAGTATAATTTCATTAGATATTTTCAAGGCTTTGATTCTGTGGAATGGCCAACATTAAAAATGATAATTAAGGTATTTGTTTTTGGTAAAGGTTTTAAAAGAATAGATCAGTTATATTCAGAGAATATCACAGCAGTAAATGATAAGATAACAGAACAGGTATCTCTAGACTGAGGTATTAGACAAGGATGCCCCTTTCCCCATCATTGTTCACTTTAGTTATATAACTATTAGCAAATCAATTAAGATATATACAGTGGTGCCTCGCTTAACAGGCGCTCCGTTTAGTGATGAAACCACATAGCGATGAACTTTTTGCGATTGCAAAAGCGATTGCTTCGCGATGTTTTAAATGTTTTTTTTCACTTTGCGATGATCGGTTCCCTGTTTCTCTTACCGATCATCGCAAAGCAATGATTTTTAACAGCTGATCAGCAGTTCCAAAATGGCCGTGGGTAAAAAAAATGGCCACCCGCTGTGTTTAGGGATGGATTCCTCACTTTAGAGGCAGCGAAAATGGCCGCCGAATGGAGGATCTTCGCTTTAAGGTCAGTTTCCAGCCCATAGGAACGCATTGAAGGGGTTTCAATGAGTTTCTATGGGCATTTTAATATCGCATAGCGACGAAGTCGCTTAGCAGCGATTTTTGCTGCACGGATTAACGTCGCTATGCGAGGAACTACTGTATCAGATATTAAAAATGGAAGGAGCTAGTGTGGTCCTGGAGGCCTCCTCTTGCATTTGTTTCAGATATTATATCTCAGTACACAAATGCAAGAATTGTGTTTGAACTCAGTAAATATTCTCTTCATAATAAAAAATATAGTTAAAAGTATTTTTAAAAAATCCTTTCCTTAAAAACATGCTTCTGATTTGGAATAAATATTTGTAAAATCCCACAAGTTTCCCCATTCTATTTGGTGACAAAAAGCGGATTCGTCATTATACAATCATAAAGCGAGGCACGACTGTAAGTGATTGGTATAGAGAAGTTTGGGATAAAGCTATGATTGATAAGCTTACATGTAATATAAAAGTTAAGGGAGTTACAGGCAGAGATCTGTTTTGTATATATGGGGAGAATTTATTTGTTTTTGGTATTAATTAAAGGAAAGGGACAAAGCCCAATGCAAGAGTCAATAAAATTTACTCCAGCTGACTGGATAATTCATGGAGTTAGAGCACTTGGTTACAGAGTCAGAGGCTGGGAGTGGCTTTCATTGTGCTTCCTATGTGAAGAACCAGCCTATGTAGCCTTGGGCAAGCCACACAGCCCTAGAGCGTCCCAGAAGGAGGGAATAGTAAACTATTCTCTGTACTTTATGCCCTGAAAATTCAGCAAGGGTAATCATAAATCAGAATCAACCTGATGGCACACAATTAAAGGAAGGTCATGTTAACTTGTGTTCCCATTCATAGATGCAGGGTGACTATCTGAATTTATCGAAGTTATTCTTATTTTTTTTAAAAAAAATTAAGGATCAAATATTTTTGCCTTCCTTGCTCCCAGTGTAGTTTAGAGCTACTTCTAGTGCATACTAAAACCATCAGATCACCTGATAGAGTCTCATTTGAATATCTTCAGATCACTTTTCCTTCATCCCCTCCTAAGACATCACGCAGATGGTATGAGTTGACAGTCAAGTCCATTTTGCTCTTTCCTTCCACATCCCTGACCCCCTTTGTTGTAATATTTTCGTTGATGTAGTTACCTTAGTGTGTGCGCGCTTTCAAATAGTTTTAGTCTAATATGATTCTTGGAATTTCTGTTCTACACCCACCCTGCTTTTTGGGCAGAAGAACCATCCAGACTCCCATCCTTGCCCTTAACAACAAGATTTTTTTTTTCTGATACTGGGGGAAGTAGCAAATATATTTTTGTATTTCAGTTTCAAAGACACCTGCAGAGATAAGTGTGCACTGAGCTCTCTGATTCTCTAGCTTTGTATGAGCAGAATATGACTGGGAGAAAGATATAGCCAACAATTGTATCAGAAAGCCCTGGAGGAGAAAATATAAGAAAGAGAAGCCACAACATAAATTTAAAAAAGCCTACATGAACTTATAAGCCTATAGTAAATAAAGGTCTCAGTCCTGTGTATTCCAGTGAACTAATTAGGACGCAAGGGAATGCTTTTCAAACAAAATGTTAACAAATGAGAAATTAGGGTTGCAAAATGCACTATGAAAGTATCAAACCAATCATTTTAACTACAGGCTGAAGGTTTTTGCAAAGGGTGGCAGAATTTATAGGAAATGCAAAGAATGGATGGAAAACATGGGAACTGGATTCAGGGAAGAATTTAGAACCAGAAAAGTTTTATTCTGATGACTAGAACTTATAGAGGCTGTAATAGAAACATGGACACTCACGCTCCATGATTAAAAAAAAAAAACCTTTGAGAATCCAATACGAAAAGTCAGTGGAGTTGTTGGTGAACAAAGGTCTTGATTCAACAAATTCTACAGGCATCCTTCAGTCTCGAGAGACTATGGTAACGTGGTCTGTATGGAGGACATGGAACAGCGTCTGTTCGACGCTGTATGCGAAGCTGGAGTGTCCTCTCCAAGGCACAAAGCCTGGGTAAAATAATATGGAGGATAAGCTCTTACCCAGTCAGCAAATCCCCCCTCTTCACGTCGCTGAAATAGTCCAATGGAAAGGCAAGAGCCAATACAACTGGTTCCAGTGATGTCGCAGGAGTTGCCAGAGCAACATGGACTGCCTCCGGGACTCCGGCTCCGAATTTTTCCTGGAGGTTGACTCCTGAAGCCTTTTCCATCAGTGGATATAACCACAAGGCAGTGGAGGTTTGAAATCAGAGTTTTCCGTCTCCTAGATGGGCTGCTTCCCAAGTCTGACAAGTCCCACCTACCCGGCCTGCTCGCTCAACATAACCGGCAACCTATACCAGTAGCAAAGTACAGTATTGTGATGGAAGTTGAAGATGAGATGACAGAAGACATAGATATACAAAGAGGAGGATAACAAAGATGTACATTCTTCCCTCTGCTTTTCAGTTTTTATTCTGAAAACATATTTACAGAAGTGAAATAAAATGAGGGGAGCAATGTGTTCAATACAAAATATAAATGGGGAGTAGGCGATAGGCGATACCTCTATAAACCACTTTTTTTTAAAAAATGTACAATAGGCAAGGTTTCATGAGTAAATCCCACTTCTTCATGGCAAAATACCAAAAGTCCAGATGTTCATGGCAAGAGAGATTTCGTAGGAAAGTTACTCTTAGATGTAAAGCTCAACAGTTCTTGCCAAGATGGACTTTGCAGTTACTACTCAGGTTGCTCTGGATTGGATTTCACACTCGAGTTCTTCAAACAAAGGGGCACAAGCCATGCACACACAACTCTTCCCATCTGGCCTTTCTTCAAAACTGACATGTTTCTGCTTGTCCGGGAAGGGGAGATGACACAGAAAAACAATGTCCTCAATTTTAGAATTAGGGTATAATTTAGTAAACTTCCTAGGTTTAGCCAGCAGGGCTCACAATAGAGTACAGTCGTGCCCCCCTTTACGATTGCCCCGTTTAACGACGGTGAGGTTTTTGCGATCGTTTATGCGATCGCAAAACGATGGTTTGAATGGGGTTTTCCCGCTTTGCGATGATCAGTTCCCTGCTTCGGGAACCGATTTTTGCTTTACGACGATCAAAACAACTGATCGTCGGGCTTTCAAAATGGCCACCGTGTGTACAAAATGGCTCCCCGCTGTGTTTAGAAGCCATTTTTCACTTTACAGGCACCCGAAAATGGCC